AAATGAAAAAGAAAGGAAATAAATAAAACAAGGAAGAAAGAAATAACTAACTCAAGCAGATTAGTTTCCAAGTTTCAATTATGGTTTTTGTTCTTATTCATTATGCTTATAAGTTAATATGCTAGTTTGAATGATTGATCACCGTTTAGGCTTGCATGTTAGCTATCTTGGTTTGAATTAAGAGTAGACACCATGCTTTAATTCGAATTGAACTATGAATAAGTATGTATGGACATTCGACAACAGGGATTAGATACATACTTGGTTGTTTAAAATGTTCTTCTTTGCTTAATGGATTCCTAATGCTTAGTTTAGGTTAGACAACAGATGATCAAATTAGGGAATTAGGAATACAAGGTTAGGACCAGACACCATGGATTAATCATACTTTAGCTAGAATCAATCCGTTAATCTAATTGAACTTGGGAACTTATCTGCTTGAGTTATTTTCTTTTCTTTCTTTCTTGTTTTATTTATTTTCTTTCTTGTTTTTCTGTTTTGTGTAGGAAAACTGAATTGGATTATTCAATCACCAATCCCTGTGGAATCGACCTCGCACTTACATATGCTATACTACCGAACGGCTCGTGCACTTGTGAGTATCACAAGTTGAGGATGCAGCTGAATCCATTATTTTGGTGCAGCTGAATCGACGCAACATTTGCTTCAGAGGGATGCCACACTGTTAGCCATGCCAGGACTGAAGTCATCTACATAATATAGCCCCCCTCTCTTAGTACCATGACCCAAAATCTCCTTAGTGTGAATATCTTGAAGTAAACAAAAACTCGGGTAAATGAGTACACAACAATTCAATCGTTCAGTAAGCTGTCACCTTTGATGTTGCCTTTGTTTGCTTCGCTTTCCGTTGCTATGGTTATTGTCGATGCCATGTTGCTGTGTTTTTGATCCGTCTCTACAACATAAAAAAATCCTAACCCTAGACACTACCTATTTTCGCTGCACTATACACTTAGCTTATAATCCTAGCCTGTCGCCGCTATCTACCTTGCTCCCTCGCCGTCGCCTACCTTGCTATTGCCGCCGTTGCCATCACCCCGACATCCATCACCATGTCGAATGTTGATGCCATCAATTTCTTCACTTGCTTATGGTTCTATTTCACCTACTGCTTCTCCTACCCATATTGTGATGGTTCATACTGAATCGTCCACCAACCTACTCTTGGTATTCAAATTGAATAGATCCAACTATGCGATTTGGGCTTCGATGATCAAACTCTACGCTACTTCACAAGGAAAATTTGGTTACCTAACTCGTGACTCTGATGCCCCATATTCCAAAGATCCATAATTTGGAAAGTGAAAAATTGATGATGCTATCGTGAAAAGTTGGATGATGTGCACTATGGAACCTAGTTTGTTGAATATGTTTCATACTTACCTATTGTTGTGCTCACAGGGTTTTTGTGTTCTGCCTTACTTACTACTGTGCTCACAGGGTTCCTGTGCTCTACCTTATCTACTGCCGTGCTCATAGGGTTTCTGAGTTTTGCCTTACCTACTGTCGTGCTTACATGGTTTCTGTGTTCTGCTTTTATGAGTTCTTCTATATGCTCTATTAATTTGTTAGGGTTTGTCAGTTGTTTCACTCGTGGTTTATGACAATGTCATCTCTACAGTTGTTCAATTGGTTAATGTCGAGTATGGTGCTTTATGACTCGCTTGTCAAGTTGGGCATGCGAAATATCTTTGCCCCAACTTGAGAGGGAGTGTTGGCGAGTCCTTACTTAGTTAAGATTTTGATTCCTTACTATGTTAGGATTTTGGTTACTTACCCATTTATCTAGTCCTATTATAATTGAGATTTATTTCCCACATTGTAATTTATATTTATTTATTTTATTGTAATTTGGATTTATTTTCTATTTTATTTAGGGTTGTACTTCTTTATAAATACCATAATATTGGAGAAGCATAAAAATATGAGCATATATGAGCATAATTGAATATTTTGCCCTACTTTGTTGGACAGTTAACTGCAAACTGAGTTACAGATGTGATAGCAATAATGAGTTGTACAAAAGGGAAAATATTATAGGCTCTATATCATCACTCCATTCCAAAATATTACAGGATGCGGTTTGAGTAGACTTTTACATAAGCAAACAATAGCGCTAATAACTAAAACCAAACCAAGAAAAGGGCATTTAAAGCTTAAATGCAGTTCTTTCGTGTGTGGAGAACCAGTATGAGATTCATTTGCACATTCTAGCAACTCTTGTACCACTGAACCCATTGTTGGTCTTTTGCTCCTATATTCCTCCACACAGGAAACACCAATCTCAACCATCATTGTTGCTTGGTTTCTACTAAACTACTCTTCTAACCTTGGATCCAACATATCCTCTATCCATTGGTCTTCCCCACATTGGATTTTCTTTTTAGCCACCCTTACAAACCTTGTCAGCTCTCCTTCTTGATCCTCACTATCCTTCAGCACCCAACTCGAAAGTCAAATGCCCTTCACCATCTCTAGAATCAGCACTCCATAACTATTAACATCCACTTTGGCAGTGATTAGAAGGTTCAAAGCCCACTCTGGAGCCATATACCCTTTCGTTCCACGAATTCGAGAGAACATTGAACTGAGGCTGCCTCTTTGAGATAACTTTGCTAGCCCGACATCTGCAATCTTTGGCTCAAAGTTACTGTCTAGGAGTATGTTCTCAGGTTTCATATCACAATGGATAACCCATTCTAGACACTCATGGTGAAGATAGGCTAAACCCTTAGCTATCCCTATTGCAACTTTAAACCTCTCTTTCCATCCAAGAAAGTTTGGGGGGAAGAGGTGCTGTGATAAAAAAAAATTCTAAGCACAAGTTCTCTAGGTTGAAACTGTCTGATCTTGGCTTTCTTATTGTAGTAAGATGTTATCTGCTGCTGGTAGGCTGCAACTCGAATAATGGCCGTCACTCGTTCTTCTTCAAGCAGATCAAGGTTGACTTTCATATGCTTGAAGTTCTGGTCAAGACTGCCCACCTCAATGCTCATGAAAGGAACTGTGATGTGTGGGGGGATGATTACTTCTGTCCTATAGGCCATGGAAAATGGTGTCTTGCCTGTCGATCT